GAAGCAGCGCGGGCTAAGAAGATGGATGTACTAAGACTCACCGACGTGTTTGCCGAGGCTAAAGCAAGAAAAATGTCATTTTAAATGCTTGGACGCCAATGCAGTGCATCAGATTTATGTCTTCCTCTTTTCCCCTATTCTTATCTGGAAACATTCTTCCAATGTATACACGCGTCAATATCGATTGTTTCATTAATACAGTGAGTAACAAACCTGTTATGAGAAGATGAGTTTTTTTTTATTGGGGGGGCCAGAATTAGGTTTTGCGGGGGGGCCCAAGAGTCAAAGTGAGTGACACGTTAGAGGACTACTGGTGCCTCATACAAGCACGTAAGAGAAGACTGGGCCAGTAAAGAATGGTGACAGAGAGAATGAATGCAAGGTCCGTCGTCTGCTAGATTTCCAAAGCTTAACAAGGAAAAAGTTACACAATTTGACGACCCGAACGCCAAGATAGGGGACTTATGTCTCATCTGAATCGTAGATGATTCTGCCTCATGATATGTAGGAAAGTAGCCAGCGGCAGCTTGCGAGGGAGGAGGCACGCAGGCGAAAACGTGAGTGAACTGATTTTTCGAGAAAGCATCAGTGAAGACCTCACAGGTCAGAGGGAAGTAGGCTCAATGGCATGCGTAAAATTGGGGAGAAATATTGGGCGTCGCTAATAGGTCCACGTTCTAAAATCATGACGTTCTTCGTTCCTGAGAAATTCAAGCTTGAAGGTGATGTCTATAAACACACACACACTTGGAAGTCACATCGTAGGGAGATGCAAATGGAAAAATTGTACTATCTCATGCATATATACGGGTATATATACATTTGTAAGATTCCTTGCTGCGGGCATGTCAAAAAACTTTCGGTGATTTTGAAAGTCCGGCCATGTAGAGGTGGGGGGTGGATATCCTACTGGAAACGCTCCTCTGGAATGCACTTTCCAAGGGACCTGTGCATATATCGAGAACATAAATGTGTCCACGCACTCTAGAGAACCACCTCGATCGATCTATCAGAGAACATTTCAAGGTTTCAGCACCGAAGGCCGATCAGAGAGGCATCGAGACGCGAATGTACACGAGGGAGAGGGGTACGGGGAACCGTCGGAAACGAAGGACTTGACGCGAGTGTCCGCGGGGAAATCCTGATGTTTCGGGCATCGATACGTTAGGAAGACTCATTGCTGTCGACGTGTCATCAAGTCAAGAGTCAAGAGAGTTAGTGATATCAAGAGGCGATTTCGCCCATTTCGATATCACGTGTCGAGGTCGAGCGTTCCTTAATTTTAGGGTAGGCCTAACCCTCTTAAAGCTATATATTTTTGTATTTTTGTTTTGTTTTGTTTTTTTGTTTTTTGACTTTCCTAGTTGCTTACTGTCTAGTACCTAACGTCAACATTGCCCCCCACCTTTTTGCCTGTCCATGAAAACATCTAGTTTCTTCTTAAAGATAGTGGGACAGCCACTACTTCGTCATCTAACGCATTCCACGCGTTCACCACTCTGCAAGTAAAAAATTCCTGTCTCGACCTGAGCCGCACCTGTGGTTTGCGCAACTTAAGTTGGTTACCTCTCGTTCTCTTGCCGTCATCAAACTGGAAAAACCTACCACACTCGACATTATCTATTCCTTTAATTATCTTGAAAGCCTGGATGAGATCGCCCCTCCTTAACCTTCGTTCGAGCGAGTACAGTCCCAACACTTCTAAACGCTTCTCGTACGATAGTCCCCTGACCTCCTTAATCATTCTTGTGGCCCTCCTCTGTACTCCTTCGAGCGCCAACAAATCGCCCTTATTTATAGGCCTCCAAAACTGGATGCAATATTCCAACTGGGGTCTTATCAGCGCCGCATATAACGGAAGAATAACGCGAGATGTCCTACTTGCAACCGATCGACGAATGTAACCTAGAATCCTGTTGCATTTGGCCACCGTCGCTTGCGCGTGCGAGGAAAACTTGAGGTCCTCATCGATAGAAACTCCTAAATCTCGCTCTCCGTTTGCCTCATCCAATTTAACATCGCCAAACGTGTCGAGAGACCTACCGTTGTTTCGGCCGACGTGGAGAACTTTACACTTACTTTTATTAAACCTCACGAGCCATTTCTTGCTCCATTCGTCCAAAAGACTTAAATCTCGCTCGGCTCTAGCCCTATCCGCCTCCCCCCTTATGGTAAAACCTATCTTTGTGTCGTCGGCAAATTTACTCATCTTACCCTCTACGCCGAGATCCAAATCGTTTATGTAGACCAAAAACAGAAG